AGGTATACAAAAAAAAGAAGTACTAGATAGTTCTTATCGTCATCCCAAAATATTAATAAGTAAAACTTAAAGTCGCCCACCACTAATTGCATGTAGCACCTGGAACTGTAAACTGAACCAAATTGAAAGTGATGCTTTCTTTTGGAAAGTAAAGCTTTAGCAATATATTTGTAAGAGTTGCTGCGAACAATGTTTACGGGTGTCGCCATTTTGACATTCCGACTTCTTAACTAGAACGCTGTTACCTCAGCCTGATGTCAGTCCCAGCCCACTTCCCAGGTAACTGGATCGCAGCATCAGATTTGCAAGACTTTGATAAAGCAGCGGTTCAAAGACCTCACAGTCAGTCAGGTGCGTCACGTTTGAACACTAATTCTGCATTGTGAGTTTGTCTGAGGAGAATCGGGCCCATTCCCTGGCGGGTGTTTTGGTTTAGCAAAATGAAAGGCCCAGATGAGCACAACGGTAATGGTGTCAATCATGCGGCTTTGAGGGCAAATCTTCCTGCAGCACCTTGTACTCCCTTCACTGCAGCTTTCTGGGGATTAGAGCTGCTTGTTTGCTCTCAGGCTCCTATAATACAGTCCCTGTAGGGATGCACGCTGCATAAAACACCCTACCCTCCTTCACACGGCCATTAACTGCTCCCCCTCTCCGGCTCTCTGCTGAGCATGGCAAATGGATGGGGCAATAAACCCAGATGTTGGCGCTGTCCTTGGGTGAGGCCTGATGAATAATGGGCTTGTTTCCTGCCTGCAGTTTGATCTGTGCAAACGGACACAACCGAAGAACACCAGCTGGATGGAGTTTGGTGGATAAGGTTCAAGTTTTCTCCTGTAAAAGCACATAAGAGAGGCCTAAACCCTCAACGTGCAAATAGTAGAGACTTCAGGTTTAATTCTTAAGATTTGAAAGTTTAGTTATGTAAAAGGACTAGTTTTATTATATGTGGCAATAAATAATATAGATGGAAAATTATTTCCAATCAAAATACCAGCATAAAATTGAAAACTAGCCAAAATGTATTTAGTTGGGTCTTGTGAACAATTTGCAAACAAAAGCGGTCTTTGTGTGTCCTATAACTGATCCACCTGTGCACTCTGGGAGTGGACAACAATGTGCTTTACGTCCCCTTTAAGCCTCAGATGTTGAGATCTGCTCTGATTAACGATAAGCAGCTTACTTCTGGTGAATAGAAGTCCCATATTTCACAACGCAAGGTGGGGAGATTTTTGGATTAGGTAGAGGCAACAAAACAAAACAAGAACATCCAGGAATTTGAAGATCTTCCAGAGGATGAAAGCTTGCAGGACAAAGTCAAAATGTCCCAACATGCATCAGTTTTATGAGACCAGTGTTTTTATTCTAACTTAGTTCGGGGCTCTCTGGCTTTATTTCCAGAAAGTAATGTTGGTTCTGTAATTTTTGAATTTTCACAAATTTAAAAATCACCCTTCATTTGTCTTGCCTGTAGAGTTGAACTTTAAAATGAAGATGAAGTTATAATTTAGTTTATTTTTTAACTGTCTTGTTTAGACTCTTGTATTAGCAACGTTAGCTGCTAATAGTTTGTATATAATATGTGTATTCTTTAGAGAGCCGTTCCCTAAATCTGAGATTTCCTGAAGGCTATTAACGTTTCCCGGACTTGACTGTGTTATGATGGAGAACTAGAACTAAAAATTAACACATAGCAACGTTGCTGTTCGTGTTCAGCCTTCTTGCTAGCTGCTGAAAATCTTGCTTTCTTTTGGTGACCGCAGAATTGCCTGTGTAGAAATGCAATTCCTTTTTGAAAGCTTGTTCCTGGTTTTGTGCCTCATCCCTCACATTCTGAACAGCCTAATTTTAAGCTTCAGAAATTCCGTCCACACCTTTTTTTTTATTTTATTTTATTTTTTAATGAACTTTATTTGTTACAATAAAATGCCATCCACACCTATGAGTGTCGCTATGGTAAGCATAGCGACACTCTATGTCGCATGACACACCATGTCAGGGTGTGGTTGATCGAAAAACTAAAAAATCAGAGTTTTAGGTTCCTGTCTGGATGATCACCGGCTGATTTCTCAGGTAATACAGTGACTGGATTTTGTCTTCTGATTGAGGTTAGGATGCATCTCTAGATAAAATATAAAAAAAATACTTTTAAGGTTTAATTCAGTTTTGTTTTGAAATAACATTTGAGTATTAAAGCTATCAATCAAAAGAAGCCTCATACGTTCCAACAGGCAGCTTGTTTCTGTCAAAATAGATAATTATTAAAACATACAGTTTTTTTGTTGCATATTTTACTCTTTGCATGGTCATTTTCATACATCCTTTATTATACTATGTTTAGCCTATATATTAGAAACCACAAACATGCAGCCGTCTCTCCGGGTCGCGTTTGGATACGATGCAGCATCCTTTTCCCTCCTCGGGCCGAAGTCAACATTAGTGTAATTGTGTGTGTGATCGAGCCGCTGAAGTTCAGCCTGCCTCATGCAGCCTGTCGATGGCCGCTGGCTGTTTGTTAATGGATGGGATGGGAGTGTGTGTTGGGTGCCCTCCAAGAACCAAAGCAGAGTTTGGAAGTGCACATCGGTGCATTTATCTGCCTCGGTGCCCTGTCCGCAGCCTGTCGATGTGTTTTCTTAAGGTGGAGGAGGGGAGGGTGACTATTGGATGAGAGGTCATACTGTGACAAACTCCTACCGACTGCTTAGTGTTTCTGTCTTCTGCATATAAATATTTATAACCATGTGTGTCTGTTACATCTGTTTTTCTGTGCAGGGGGTTAAAAATAGTGGCGTTGAACAATAAAAGAATAAAAATCAGCAGAATATCCTAAACGTTGAAGATGAGCCTGAAACGAATATTCGATTATGGAAATGATAATCAACTAATTTAGTAATCGATTAATCATTAACTGGAGTACACAGACTCAAAACAGAGCAGTAATTAGGCTAAACTGTACAAAAATATATACATTTTGCATTTAAAATAATAATAAAACAACTGTTTTACCCAGAACTCCTCAAGTGACAGAATTATTTAACCTCTAAAAAACAAATATCTTATTAAGCACCTTTCGCTATCAGATTATTAACCGGTTAATACAAAAAAATAGGCAATTTACAAGTGATCAATCGTCCACTAAAAGAATTTTAGTTATTGCATTTTAGGTAAAAAAATGTTTTTCTTATTTTAAAAAGGAACTGAGTTATCTTGTTGTATATTTTTTGTATTCTTAATACTGTATAAAAAAGATTAAGTGGTTAAATAAAGAATCTGCAGGAAGTGCCTACTTTTGTATCTGATTAATCGCCCAAATAATTGACAATAATCGTTAGTTGCCGCCCTGATTGCAACATGAAATTACACTGGTGAGAAATAAAGTTGCTGCTGAGCTCTAGAAGGAGGAAGAGGTTCACATTAATAAAGTTGGATGCTGTAGAAGAAATCATCTGGTCTAAACTGGACTTCAGAACAAGCAGATATGTTTTAACCAACGGTCCACCTCCTGCTCTGGCCTTTACTAAATCCCTTCTACTGCAACTGAGTCTCATCTGCATGACCGCAGCACTTCCATTAAGCCCATTAATCCCGTCCAGGCAGCCCACTCTGTGTCCCCTCCGACTGTCCAGCGTCTTCAGGTCCGCTGGCTGGCTCACCTCCCTGCAGAGCTGGAGGAGGAAAGCCAAGCGACATGCATTAAGCTGTCGCCGTGCGTTACTCTGGAGAAAGACGAGAGTCATTAACATATGTTGACAGCCTCGTTTAGAGTAAATGGGACCGCCATGCCGCGGTGCTGCTGCCTTACAGAATCCGTCACAGTTTCATGGAAGTCCACTAGGTTATTATCAGTTCATAAAGTACAGGCCTCAAGTATATTTTTAGTTTTATTTTCTAGATTTTCACTCTGCATTGTAGCAGTATGATTCTGTTGTTGCACTCCATAACGTGATTTTTATTAAAAACTACATAAGTCGTCTGGGTTCAGGAATAAAGTGTGCAGTTGGATGCAGTTCTATGGAAAAGTATTCACACCTCTTTAACTTTTCCACTTTATGTTTTTAAATAACCAACATCAGTTCATTTCATTGACATTTTACTTGAGAAACCAACACAAAGGAGATCCAAACTATGAAGTCACTTATTTAGTAACTATAGCTCACCTGTGTGTTAATTGTAATCAAATTACTGACGGGTAAGGAGAATCATTGGTCCTGCATTTCCCAATTCTGGATGGAAAGAGGAAAGTCAAATGTCCAGTTTGCATTTTCCCACAAGCCTTTTAAGGGACACACTGAACCCATAAAATAAAAGACCAAAATAAACTTTAACTAATTGATATATTAGTAATGAAACAACCCCTTGGTTAGACATGGTGGTGGCAGCATTATGCTGAAGGGATGCTGTTCTCATGGGGCAGCAGGAATCTGGTCTTATTAAAAACACATGTCACATTTTCAGATGTTTATTTGTGAGAAAGAAAAAAACATTTAAAAATATATTTTTTGCAGATAAACCGTGCTTTGTGTTGGTCTATTAGATTAACCCCTCCCCCACCCCCAAAAAGACACTAGAGTTAAAAGTTGTGGTGTGGAAAAGTTAAAGGAGTATGAAAATGTTTCCAAGGCACTGAATATGAAGTTAAGTTGTAGAGCCTAGTAGATGATTCAGATGATATCTTACTTAACAAATAACCATGTGGTGTGTCACCTCTGTCCAGAGAATCGTTGAAATTATTGCAAATATTTGGCTAATAAGTCAGTATTTTTGTATTTTGCAGTTATGTATGATGTGAAGTTTGGATCTGCAGCTCTGCATGTGGTTTCTGTGTAAATTAGCAGAGTGTCCAAGTGTTTTTTTTCTCTGTGTTTAAAACTTGTCATTTGCCCCATGTTTTTTTTCTCAGGGTAGTTTGATCTGTCTCTTCAGGTCTGTGTTATTTTTCTCAAACTAGATCTTTTTCTTTTTTTTTTTGCTTTTGAAACAATGCGTTGCACATACAGAAGAGGCAGCATGTAGGTATCTTAAACACCTCAATGGCTGCATGAACCATGTTTTAGTTTCTTGTTTTGTTTTCTTAAAGATGTTAATTATTCTTTCTGGGGTTTTGCTTTTTGTTGTTTCTCCCTGCCCCCTGTTATCTTGTAGCTCAACATTTAAAAGCGTTGAGGATTTCTTTTTAAGTTTTGTTTCTGTGAGTTTTTTTTGGTTTTGTTTTGTTTTCATGATAGAATTGATCAACTCTCATAAAGTAGCAGCTTGGTTTTGAACACTTTCAGCAGGTTTCTCGATCAGCTCTTTGATTTGTCATTAAGTACATCTGTGCAACATATTTCTTTTGCTTTCCGTTTCTGTTTTGAGTTTTGTCTGCCCGTCACTCCAGGCGTTCCAGCTCGCCCTCCACCACCTCCATCGACACCCGTCTCTCATGCGTTCTGTTTGGCTGCACGGTGGTTGTTGTTGCTTGTCGGGGTTTCTTTTTGCACGCTCTGTGTTTCTGCGTTTGGAACAGTTTTTAATATCACACTCTTCTCTCCCTTCCCCTCCCTCTGTTTGTTAATCATCTCTTTTGTTCTTTGTTTTCCTCTCTGCAGGGGATGTGCTCTTTCAGATGGCTGAAGTGCACAGACAGATCCAGATCCAGCTTGAGGAGATGGTGAGCATGTGGTGATGGTGTTGCTAAAATCAGCTTGGGTACTGGGAGCCAAACAGATTGTGGCCTTTTTGCTTAATGACGTGAAATGTTTGACAATCTGAAAATCAGCCTTTTAATGGGAGACGAGCGGCTTCTGATGACGCCGCTGCAGTGGGATGTGGGAACTGGTCCTGATTGTATGCAATTCACAAAGAGTTCAGAGTGAAACGGTCCTTGTGTCAGTTCTTTACCCAAATCGGAGAAAAAATTGTCAAAATGTGATAACTTTTCCAGTGAACATTCAGCTGATTCAGAGATGTTAGAAACAGTCAGCCTACAAATGTATTCAGGAATTATTTTGAAGTCTGTTTGCAAATGTTTCCTATTCTTTTGGATAATTGGTTGAAGATGCAGTTATGGGCAAATCAGACTCAGCTTTATCCTGAGAGGCTGCTTTTCACAACTTTAGAAAGTACCTTACATCTGAAGTCCATTATTATTATTATTATAATTATTAATAATGATGTGAATCCCCACAGAGGCTTACATTGCTTTGTAAAAGTATTCAAACAAGTGGGAAGAAAATTATTCATGGTTTTCATGTTTTTTTCTTTAATGCCAATTAAAATCTGAATCCCATATTATTCCTATGATGGAAGCATGGTAGTGGCAGCGTCATGCTGTCCCTCTAGTGACTGGTCAGAGTTGATGGGGAAGATGGATGGAGCTAAATGCATTAAAATCCTGAGGCTGCCAAATATTGAGGTTGGAGCAGACGTTCACCTTCCAGCAGGACTCCAGTCTGTAGACTTTTCCTACATGCAGTTTCCTATTTATGCCAGCAGGTGGGGTAGCTTAATATAAGAAACAAATAAATTAAATTTGTGGTTGATCTGTAAGTCTTTTAAACAACTTCAAACTGTTAGCTTAGCCTTACTTTGTTTTATTGTCATCTAAAGTAGATTTTTCACCAGCTTAGTAAATCTTTGAGAATATTTCTGAAACTCTTGAAAGCCATGTATCATTTTCCTTCCACTTCACAAGAACACAATCCTTTGTGGGGGTTTGTCACATAAAATCCTATGAAAATCATAGAGCTGAATACTTTTGCATGATGATGTTCATGTTGCTCGTGCGGAAACTCCAGATTGACATCCCTCTGTAAACCTCTGGGTGTGTCGTTTTCCCACCGTAGTCTCATCCCTTTCGGTCGTTTCCTTCAGCACCGAAACAGACATCCCACTTTTAAAAATACCTCCTCTGCGGTTTCCGCATGGAACGGCTTGAGACTGGTGTTAGTTCGTGTTTGTGGGGGTTATTGTTGAGGTTTCTGTGCTCACGTTTTTTGCAGTTGAAGTCTTTCCACAACGAGCTCCTCACAGAGCTGGAGAAGAAGGTGGAGCTGGACGCGCGCTACCTGAACGTGAGGCTCCTTTTCTTCTTCTTCTCATACTGTGCTGATTCAAAATGTGGGGTCAAAGGAGTTGGTGTGGGCCGCGGCAGTGCGTCTGCACGAACAGGGCGTCAAATGACCTCTGTTCAGTCAAAGCTGCTGCTGTCGGAGAAACAAAACCCAGGTTTATTTTGGGTTTGTGACAAAATATGGACAGATGGGAGGTTTAAGATCATCTTCTTGTAAAAAAAAAATCTTCTGCCAGACTTCACTTGCTTGTTTTAGGTTTTACAACACAGTTACTGCTTATTTTAGGCTCAGTATTTTACTACATTCAATCGATATGCTGCTGCTGGGTTCAGATAAACCTGCTGCAACCTTCCAGTAATCAGCATTAGATGGAAACATTTGGAAACTCTCTGGAAACAAAGTTGATACAGATCAAAGAAGTAACTCGGAGCTGAAGACATTTGGGGAGAAAATATGGATTTTTGACTTTTAAAAAAACAACAATTTATGTGAATAGTAATGTTATTTTTATCAGTAGCCTGAAAACAGAGTTGTTTTAACAGTTTGTGGGCAGGATCATGCATAAATCACTGCTTTTTAAGAGATAGGGGATTATATATTTGGAAAAACCTGTTTTTACTTTTAATATTGCTCAGACTTTGAAGTGATTATTTCAGCTATTCCTACATATACAGGAGGTTTGCCTTACTTCAGCTTATGCAACAGGAAATTGCATAATTCATTCCAATAAATACAGTTTGTGGAGCTTATTTGCATGTTCTTAAGCTGCTGGTTGGACACTTTAAACACTACATACAAAACCTGAAAAAAAAAGAAGAATTTGCAAAAAAACATATTTTTTAGAATTTCTAGGTTTACATTATTTTGTTGCTGCTAACTATTTAAGAGTTCTTCCCTCATCAATCTGAAATTAATATTTAAGGACTTTAATTTTTTTTTTTTTCCTCATTAGAGCATTTAAACGGTGTAGAGCCAAACGCTCTGAAATAAACACACTGTTAATGTTGGATTGATCTATCCTCTGTGCATGCACTGCTGCACCCCTGCTGACTTTGTGCTGCCCCCCTCAGGCGGCACTGAAGAAGTACCAGATGGAGCACAAGAGCAAAGGGGAGAGTCTGGAGAAATGCCAGGCGGAGCTGAAGAAGCTGCGCAGGAAGAGCCAGGGCAGCAAGCACCCCTCCAAGTATGGAGATAAGGAGATGCAGGTCAGTGTGTGTGTGTGTGTGTGTGTGTGTGTGTGTGTGTGTGTGTGTGTGTGTGTGTGTGTGGCATCTCTGTGGTGTCCCTCAATCATGATGCAGCACATAAACCACTGCTGATGCAAGTCTTGGCTTCAGGCAGTCCTTCAGTGGAGATCAGCTGTTGACATCAACAGGAAACTTTCTCCTTTATTCACACACTGCAGAAACACAAACTCGTATTTTTGGTCGAGTTTCTAGTGCAAATATTTTTTCACACTTGAAATAAGACAAAACTAACCTAGGAGACATGAGCTTGTTGTCAATGCTTCTGAAATACTGATCAAATCTATTTATTCCATTAGGAGATTTTTTCTCTTATAACGTGAGAAAAATGACTTGTTATAAGTGAGATAATCCTCTAGTGGAACTAGTACTTTTTATCAACTTTCCTGACTTAAAACAAGGTTCTATATTTTGCTAAAAAATTACTTATTAGTTAGTTTTCTTTTTTCAAGTGTACTAAAATGTTTGAATTTGAAATGAAACCAAAAATACTTAGTAAAATCTTGCTTTTCCAGAGCACTCTTATACTCAACTTCAAACACAGATTTTTTTGTTGAATTCATGCAAACTGATCAAGAGCAAGCTTTAACTCTTTTATTAGAAATGCATTTTTGCCTTCCTGATGGGCTTTAAGCTTCCTTCTGTGACAAAACCTTTAAAAACAACAACAACAAAAACAAACAGTTTTTTTTTATATTTAAATCATCATAGAAAAGTTTAGCGAAACTGAGAAATCCTCTGAGGACCAGGGTTTGCAGTATTTACCGTCTCTCGGTTCTCTGACTGATTCATTACCTTCTGCTCTCCTGAGTGTGATGGGTAAGTGGGGAAGGTGAGCGTTTGGCTGATGTTCCGGTGGCTGTTGGAGCGGAGGTGTGATTACACGGTGCACGTCTCTGAGCTTCTGTCTGGAGGTGTTGTGGTGACACACAGTGGGCCGGCTCTTATTACACAACCTGCACACCAGAGGCTGCCGTCATGAGCCTCTTATCCGTCCCATCGGCTGGCACAGACGCAGGCGAACTGACTCCATCAAAGCCATTTGTTCATTTGTTTTGTTTTTTTGTTTAGTCTATAACCATAACATAAACACAAAACTTTTAGCTGTAAAACTAATTGCTTCCTCCCTGCCTTTAGAGATGAGCGTCGGACGTTCTCGTTTTTATTTCTCCAGCTCCAGTTGCTGGGCCTCGATGAAGCATGTCGTGCGTTTCTGCCTCGTCTGAACTCGACGCGTGGAGTGCGACACAAATAATTAAAGCCGGAATGAAACTGGGAATGTGGGACTTCATTTGCTGACAGCCTGTCTGCGCAGAGCAACAAAACAATTTACCTGCAGCTCGGTTAGATGTCAGGCGGCATCACGGCTCCGTTTCTTTACAACTAATTATTCTGACATTTCTTTAATCTAAATCCAAATGTTTTTCCCTGTAACTCTACAATTCATGAATCCTGGCTGACCTGTTTTGTGTAGCAAATTAGAATATAAAAAGCCACGATTTTCATTCTTTAAAAGTATTACAGGGAGGTAGGATTTTTATATTTTAGAGCTCGCAGATAATTACAACATTTGCAGCAGACGATGAAGACTGTCATGTCTGACCCGCCGCAGAGAGCTTCAGCACTTCCAGAGGCTGAAAACGTGGCGTCACGCTGCTCTGTCAGAGCAGCAGGGGTGGCAATTACTGTCTAATTGTTAGTGTTTCTGCAGCGGATGGTTGGTTGGGCAAGCAGGGGTCGGCTTGGTGGCTTTTCCAAAAAAAAAAAAAAAAAAAAAAGAATCAATCAATAGCTGGAGCTACAGTACGAAGAGCTGCGGCACCGAAACGTTTAGGCCTAAAGTCCATCGGCCCCTCTGGGCTTCAGTGGCTTATTGAGTGTGAAAGCTGTTGGTCTCGGCGGAGAGTTCGATTCTTTCTGCAGAGGTTTGGTTCTGTTTGTGGCGGGAGAGAGGAAGCGAACTTCCACAATGTGAAGCCTCGCTAATTTAGATTTCAGCTACCGGAGCCGGTCTGTGCTCGACACCTCCAACAAAAGACTGTTTCGACTGGAAGATATTTATAATGTAACATTTCTTTCCCTTACAAACTGTTTTGTCCTCTACATAGAGAACAATGTGTACTAAAGGATCAGGATTGTTTAGAGCCGTTCCTGGCTGCAACATGTAGCAACAGAACTGAACTGACCTTTAGAAAGAGCAAAACGCGACACGGAGTCGGTGTATGTGGGGTTTTTATGAGCCTTTCCTTTAAACCCTGTATATGAGGCTATCAGCTCCACAGTTCAAGCATTTTCACTCTGTCCAACTTTTAATTAGCTGCATAGCAACAAGACTTGCCGCTTCCTTTTTTTTTTTTTTTTTTTGAGAAAAACTTGTTTCCAAGAGATTTATTAGCTCTTGATTCTTCCAAACAAAAATAGATTCAGTTACATGGAGAAAAGATGACAGAGGAGTAAAACATGCTCATCTTAAGTCGGATTCGTGTGTAATCAATACCTGGTTTAATGTGAATCAGCAATTGATGAATCAATATTGTTTACAATCCAGTTCCATTTTTAATTGGCATAAACTACAGCAAACATCATCTCATGGTTCATAGGAGTAAAGTAGGTCTATTTTATATCTAATTATGCCAAATTGGTGTCAAATCAACCAATCAAAATCTAATTCAAATGCATATGTAGTCAAATTAATACAAATAAGAGTTCATTTTGGCTCTTATGTTAAGAAATGCAAGAAAGATTGGTTGTTGTGCTGAGCCCGAATGCTGAAAGACACTTTTTTAGAGACAAATTAAATCATATAAACGTATATAGATTTAAACTAATAGATGCAAGAGTTTGGACATGAATACTCAATATATTTGACTGATTTGTAGTTCTGTATGTAGACTTAATCGTCTTTACCATGCAGTCTGGGGAAAGAACCGGAGTCTGCATCTCCAAGGTTTTAACTTTCCAACTTATTATTAATTCAGACTAGAGCGTCAACCCAAGGAACGTGTGATTGATTAGGCATTGAACTCAAACCAGGTTTTTCTTTTATATGAATGACTGCAGGTAACTTGTCCTGGATCCCTCATATCAGTGTTTATTCCTCATTTCATCTCCAAAGCGGGCCCACGCCACAGTTTATCACTTCTGGCTTGTTTTCGTCCATCTTGCAAGAGCGATCGGTTCATCAGTTCAAAGGGAACTCGGAGTCCAAACTCAGCTTTTCTTTAATCTTCCGGCCTGCTCATCACATCACCACGGTGAATTTGCATACGATCGCAGTGCGTTTTGACGTCCCACTGACAGCAGGAGGGGTTCAACCTGAAGAAAACATCACACACTTTAAAAATCTCTTCTGTAAGGCTAATTACAACAACCTCTGTCTGCTTCCTCGCTGACGTGTTTCGCGCTCAGCAGAGCTTTTCTTGCAGGTGTGTTCCTCTGTAAGCAGAAGTTGGGAAAAGCTGATTATTGTCACCGTCAGCTGGACCCCAGCTGCAGAGTCGGATTTATTGTGATGAAGAAGCTGATTGGCAGCTTCTGGCACGAAAGACCAGCCTGTATCTAAATGAATGAACTTCATGGAGGACTTCCATTACGCACCACTTACTGGTAGCGTCCTCATGAGTCCTGCATGTTGTCGTTAAATGCTCCCAGCTGTTCGCCGCCTCGTGCTGAGAGATGATTGAAGGAACGGTGGGCTCTCCTTGACCGCCAGCAGCTGTGTGGAACATGTGCTCCCACCTGCTGGCCTGAACCCGGACCCTGAACGCAGCTTGTCCTCTTCATTAGCTGCCTCCGTCTTCCTCTGTAATGGCCACTTCACAGTGGCTGCTGGATGAGCCCACATGAGGAGCAGTTCTGATTAATGAGCACATCCGGGTGGTGGAGCTTCGTTCTGCTTGTAACGTCATTAAAACGACGCTCCGTTCTTCCCAAAGCTCACAGATCCACTGCAATAACAAATGTTTCTGGACGATAAATTGTCCCAGGAATTATTACGATAAACGATAATATTGATGTTTTGAGGCAACCAATATATTGATGATGCAAGGTCATCCTCAAAGACTAATGAACTTTGATTTTTCATTTTACTCCACACTGGAACTGGAAGACAAAAAATATGCACTATCCAAAATAAAACACAACAACCAAAAACAATAAATAAAAAGGATCACGAAGTTTCTGAAAACAGAATTGCCCTTCAAAAAACTGTTAATCATCAGAATGTGAATTGTCATGCTCATTTTAACTCATCCTTATTAGTCCTTAGTGATTATTATATGTTGTCATATTATTTCTAGGTGCTTTTATTAAAGAGTCTGTTTATTTATTGAAAGCTGAGCTAAATGCTTCTCTAAAACGGCTCCAAGAATTCATTTGGCTCTTTTCCAGAAAAATTAACACTGCCCTCAAAGAGTCCCTCTAGTGGGCTCTGCAGAATTTTACATATTTTACAGTTATGTTGTCATTTTCTGCATCTAACGAGCTTTGTGATGCTGTAAATTGTTTTGTGCACCACGATGCATCTGCTCAGCTCTGAATAATCCCTGTTCTATTTGTAGTTTTCCAGACATTAACAAAGAGAATAAAACTTTCAAAATAACCTTTTTAAACTTAATGAAGTTGATTGCTGATCCATTTTTTAGCTTATTTTCTTTGCACTTATGCTTTAAGGATTTATTGTGGAAATGCATTTGTTGATGACGAGGTAAACACATTGATTTTTGAGGATCTACAGTTTACAGAAACTAAAGCAGCAGTTTATCTCTAGAAGGAAGGCGTCGCTCTGAAAACATCTCAATCTGCATAACTTCCAGCTAAAAGGAACCAAAGTTGTGTATGAAAAAGAAGGCATATAGGTTTAAATTCAATATTGTGCTGAGCGCCTTGGCGAGGAAAAGGCTAAGAGAATCTAATCTTTACATAACCTTAAATGTTTGTTTGAAGACAGAAAAGTAACAAAGTGTTTAAAATTCATTAACTGACCTTCTCAGTTTCTTTATGTTTAGGTAAGAATGTAAATGAGGCAGAAAAATATTCTTAATGAATGTCTGCTTTGCTTTATTAATTCCATAATTAGCACCTCTGGTGTTGCTCAAAGTGTGATGGTGGATTATGGAGCATCGCTGGATGACTCGAGTCGCTCTATAGATCCGTCTCCTGGCACCATCGGGTTATTTTTGAACGTCCAGCCCGCCCTCAGCTGTTAGCTGAAGCAGCTAAATGAGCAGGTCGGTGTGGGATGCTGAGTTTGTGTGTGAACGGTTCGGGGCGCGGCCATTGACTCCTCACGCCGCTTCCGACAGCAGACTAACACGCCGAGGACGACGTTTCACTTTGTTTAAACTCTTTAGAAGCTTCTCTTGTCTGACTGAAGCTGTGGATGAAGTCACTGCAGTCAGACGTTGGTGTCAACATTTCCGCTAAAGGCGCCGCTAGTTGTACGTTAGAGTTTGGTAATAAATGTACATCGTGATCGATATCACTCCCCCAGAACCGCACAGCATTATGGGGGATGTAGGCAGAGGAGACGCTTTAGCTGCTCAACCTCTTCTGGCCAACTAATAAGCTAGGTTGGTGGGATCAAGCAATTCACTCGCTCTTTGGTTGCTTAGCAACTCACTCACCCTTTGGTTACCTAGCAACAAACTGCCGAGTAACTTTAGCAGCTGCAGTTTAATGCTTTAAAAATTAAAAACTGCAATGAGTGAAAACTGTGGGTGAAACAGGAAGTGGTCACATCACCAGTTTGGCAGCATTTCAGATGCTTAAAACAAAAGACTAATCAATATGGTATGGTTTTAGGCAATATTGCCCAGCTCTAGCTACTACCCAGTGGGAGAGGGAAATGTTGATCAGGAAGTTCCTGTTTTAATGTGCTGTGACATTTTTGACTTAATACCCAAGGCAGCCCAGGAAAAACTCAATTTTCTTTATACATGTCATCACTTGAAGCATGTAAAGGACTGATTCACCTGCTCCATAAAATGTTTATTATGGAGTCTTTTTTTTTTTGGCACTTGTTACTTTTACTGTTTTGAGACAGCTGGAAAACCTCTGGATTTTCTTTTTTCCCCCTTTTCTTCCCAGTTTGTGGAGGCCATCAGCAACAAGCAGAGCGAGCTGGACAACTACATCGCCGAGGGCTACAAGAACGCCCTATCTGAGGAGCGGAGGAGGTACTGCTTCCTGGTGGACCGTCAGTGCGCTGTGGCCAAGAACAGCAGTGCCTACCACAACAAGGTGAGACCAGCACATGTATTTCACTAGAAATTTCTAATTTCTAGTGAAATTGCCATTTCACTTAAAATTGAAGCAACAAGGCAAATGTTGTTTAGACCTGTGGCACCATTTCTTTGAGACCATTTAGTTGATGAGACCATCAACTAATATGTTAATAATGCCATAATTTAAATTTGCCCTTTCAAAGAGCAGTAAACTTGAATTTTGTAAAAAAAAAAAAAAATCTGTTTAACTGGAACTGGAAGATATTTTAAATAACCAAAATAAAACACATCTGAAAATGATTATCAAGCTCAGTTTAATTTATCATGAGATTAATTTAACTGCTTATTGTGACAATCTTAGTTAGAGCTGAATAACATTCTATAGATGTGACATTGGAATATAATTGATGAAAATTGCTACTGGAACTTCTCTCAGAAATCCTGAAGCTGTAGAAAAACACAAGTTCAGGGAGGAAGAGGAGAGCAAAATGCGACTTTATTTAGTGAGGAAAATGAGTAAGAATGTTCCTACATGGACGAGGATGAAGTATTTGATATTGTTCATCGGTTTTGCAGCTTGGCAGATCATAAAATGCGTTCAGGCTTGTCGCTTTGTTCCATTCTCACATTCCTGTGTTTATTTATACATCGTCATGAAATGATAAACCCCCCAGTACTCGTCCAGATGCTTCCCACTCAGCCAATCACAGGCTCACTATGAACAGAAATGCAAGTCGCTCCCGTTTCTTCCCCGGATGGCTACATCCTCTCCTCTTCACATGTAGAGAGCCCAAGCCTGAGGAGGAGGAGGGTGAAGGCGGCCAGGAGGATGACCTACTTCTGCAGGAACACTTGGTTCCGACTCACTGCGTGTGGGTGTGAAAGTGTCTGAATGAGTGATTGATAGACAGGAGGAAGCAGAGAACACAAACTGCTGATGGGATGATTAAACATCAAAAAGGGATTAAATTAGACTCAGAGCGACCGCCGGCTGTCCTCATGCCAATTACAAGGAGAGTTTTTTGTTCCTAAGCAAAAGATGCTAAAAATTCCTTTGAACTGGAGACGATTTTCTCTTCGAAGTCACGTTTCGGGGTGAATCTCCGCCTCCAGCAGAGTCGTCCTGATGCTCCTGAGTGACAGCAGGTTGAACCTGGAGACGATGAATGAATCTGTAATGTTACCGAACGATGTATTTGAACAAAAATGGGTTATTAAAACATTTTTCTTAGGACTAAATCAGAAATAATCAAGCTAGACAATTAAGGGCTGAAATGTTTAAATACATTAATCATGATGAATTGAGGCATCTTTTAATATATTTCTGATGCTGCATAAAAAAACTAAATGAAATGGAAAACTCTGTAGAATGTGCCAGTTTTTTTTTTTTTCTTTTTAATCCGATTGATCGATTACTAATATAATTCCTAGTTGCAGCCCTAATTTCAATCAAAAGTTCCCGGGGCTTTAAGCATGTGTTACGTTTTTAAGGAACCTCAATTTAAAGCTTCAGAGTTGATTCTAAAAGTTGTGTTTCACAGAGATGCTGCTGCTGTTGTTCTCCTTTTCTGTAAAAACTCTGCTGCTGCCGGAGAAGTTGACCAGGTGACCAGTCTGTTTCTGTGCTTTACTCTGTCCTCTGAGAGCAGAGTAAAGCAGCCGCCGTCTGCGCCTGTCGATTATCCTAACACCGGTAAAGGCACTGGCCACCTACGCTCCATCTTTGCTATCTGCCAGACTAACTGGGGTCGCAGTGACTCATCGCTTTCACCGGCAGCAAAGATGTTCTCAGGAAAAGTTTGCAGAACACAAAGAAACGGAACTGTGACTTCTCATTCGTCTCTGTTTCAGCGACGATTTACAGAAACAAAGCAGAAGCAGAACGTCTCTGATTAAGGATGTTAAAAGTTAAAGAGGGTCGATTCACTTTAGAGGATTGTTTTCTGGATTCTCGTAATCTGACTACTGATGCCTGCCTCTGCAGACCGCCCACTTCCTTGGCCACGTTAGAACCAGCCAAGTTTTAATTCCAGATTCAGATCTGTTTGTTCTTCCCTGAAGATGAATGCAGATGAGGACTTTACGTAACCGCTCTGCTGTATAATGCATGGACACATCCTGCGGCAGCTGAGAGCTTCTCGTAGAGACGAATCGCACGCTGCCTCAGTTTCCCGTCTGGTTTCACTTTACGACCCGTTTTACTCTGAATTATAGACTTCGCTGAAAAATGTGATCCATAGAAAACTACCAATAACTGATTTTGAACATTTACTTTCTCACTTTCAAGCAACTCCAGAATGTTTCAAAGAGCTTTCGAAGCTTAAATCAAATGAATACATGAATGAAACTCAGCTTGTTCCTTTGCTTCCCTGGCAGCTTCATGCATCCATCGTCTAATCTATCTCAGCCTCGTCTCTTGACCAAAAAATAATTTTCATACAAAATCCGATATGATTGGTTTGATGTAGATCAACCATTCTTTCCACACTTTCTCAAATTCATTCATTTCAAGTCTCCAGAAAGAGGTTAGCTTCTCTGTAACATCAATAACATGCACCACATATATCCAGTTCTCCTGATTTGGTGTTTCCTCGTTATTCCCTTTGTTCCTGCTAATATCAAGATTCTAAATGATTTTACATTTAAATCCTTTATGCTCTGCCTCTATTGAATGTTTCAAATGGAAAACGTTCTGTCTGAAGAACCCCATCCATGCATTGTTTGAGATCCTTCCAGCTCCAAAAGATCCAAAGACGACTTGACTGGGTTAATCTGACTCAGGTTCATATCTCTGCTTTAAAGAACGGATACATGAGTTTGTTAAAAGGGTGAAAAAGTAAGAAAAATGCATTTAACAAAACTTTTGTAACCAATTAACACTGTTGGTGTACTTCTTTAACAGAAATCCCCAATTGAATGTTTTTGCCGTTTAATTTCTGACGATTAAAAAATTGCCAGCCCAAATAGCTCTCCGTATAACAGATCATGCTGAGCCTGTTCTCTCTCTGTGTTTCCAGGGTAAGGAGCTTTTGTCCCAGAAGATCCCCGTGTGGCAGCAGGTGTGCGCCGAACCAACCAAGCTGCCGGATCGGGCCATGTTCCTGGCGCAGCAGATGAGCGGCGCGGCGGGCGGCATGCCTCCCGGCGCCCTCCACCCCGGCATCTCCGAGCCCATCTCTGGCGCCAAACCTCTGCCCATGCCTCCAGAGCTGGCAGCCCTGCGGGCCGGCGCCGCCATGGGCCAGCAGGTCGGTTCCTCCTGGGCCTTACCGCACCAGACAAACGACGAGGCGTTTCACACAAACTGCAAAACGGGGCAGCGTCTCTGTTCAGACGACTGAAAGCCTGCAGAAAAAGACGAATCTGAAACAGTAAAAACACTCACTTTTACAAATTGTAAAAAAAAAAAAAAGTGAGTCTGTTCCAGTATAAAACGGAAGCAGTCAAGGAGTTCATTGTGCTGTTTCGTCCTGCTGCGGCTAAGAGTGGTCTAATGGCTTTCTGACTCATCATTTATAGTTCACACCGGAACCGAGAACGCATATATGGAGAAATGTCTGATTGAAGGAGCAGGGACACGCAATGCGTTTCATCTAGTGCAGCTTCTCACTGAGCGGAGACACGACCAAAACATGCAGCACAAAATGTTCCTTTCAATGTAAAATCTATAGAAACAGAAGTGTTGGGTAGTGACTCCTTCCATTTACTCAAGTGATTTGAGTAAAACAAAATACGGTTTTAGTTTTGCTTGCTTAAGTAATTTTATTCTGACGTATCGTCACTGTTTGGTAAAATTTGTGAGGAGCTTCAGTGAATAATTGACAAGCTTGTTTTAACCAAAAATTCACCAGACACACACATGCAGTTTTTGTTTCAAATGTTTAACACTGAAAGGCATTGATATGGAAGAATGTCTCTTTTGCCTGAATTTGTCATTTTGCAATTGTGGTATTTACATGAATTATTTTTACTCGAGTAATTTCTTTGACAGAACCTTTTTGCTTGAGTAAACTTTAAAAAAATGTTGTTTGTGTTTGAGGGATTGTAAGTGAAGCGCTGCTCTGCGATCAAAGATAGAAATTAAATTTTATTGAATCAGTCACAGGCATGTTGCTCTGACAGAGTTTAAATTTGTGACATCATTAAGCTCGCTCTCTTCTCCTGGACAAATAAGTCCACATGTCCATCAAACATTTTTCTTGCTTTTGTTTGAATTCTAATTAAAAAAGCAGTGCATACATAGCTACACTGTGCATTCAGTAATAATAATAATGCCTTGAAACTCTTTCACAGATGTTTGCTTTTAACTCTGTACATAAACGATTTTAATTAACGAAGCGTTTCTGACCAACAGCCACTCGACGCCTTCGTTATCGCTAATGAGCTGCAGGAAGTTATGCAACTATGATGTAAATGTGCAGGAGCAGGTTTTAATCGTCTCGCCGGCTCTCTCTCTCGCAGCGGCTGATGGACGGAGCGATGCCGGCGATGAACGGAGCAGCGGGTGGAGAGGACTACCAGCAGTGGATGGAGAGCAAGGTGGGGCAGGGCAAAGCCTCCCCGCAGCCTCAACGGCACGGAGCGGAGGTCTACTCCAACACCTTGCCTGTGCGCAAGGCCGCCCCCACAAAGAGCAAGACCCCACAATGTAAGGACACACACCTCTCCTTTCTACAGAGGTTTAGTGGAAGCGTAAAAAAATAACAAGTCTCCATGGTAAAGACGTCTGCAGAAATCCACTTCGTTGCTGGGATTGTGAATGCAATTTTATTTTGCGCCCTCCGTTAATTAACTTGGCTGAGAATTGAGTTAAGACTCTGATTACCTTGTTAATCCTTTGAGTGCAAACCGTGCTCAGCATGAAGCTGCAACAACGCAACAGTTCACTAAATCAGCTGGAGAGACCAGTAATCAGGGCTGAAACAATTAATCGCATTAATTATGATGAAGTATTGAAATAATTTAGTAATCGATTAATCGTTTAGGATGCAGACTCTTGGGGGGGAAAAAAGGCAATTTGCTGAAATAAAAACACACCCAGACCAATAATTAAGCCAAAACTGTACGAAAATGTATATATTTTGAATTTAAGAAAAAATATTTTTTTGTCTGTAAATATGTTCTACAGAAAAAAATCACTACTATGACACCAAGTCAATCAGAAATGGCTGAGATTTTCAAATGTTCACTACAGGAACGCTATGTTGTGTTTTAGGCAACAAAATGCATATTTTCTTATTTAGAAAAATAATTGAATCATTTGTTTATTTGCATCTATTAATGTGTTTCTATTGCATAAAAGGGCTTAAGTTAAAATATGAAGAATGTGCCATTTTTTTAAAATCTCATTGATTAATAACTTAAATGATCGTTAGTTGCAGCCCTATCGACAATATTTTAGGAAAAAAGACTGAGAACAGTAGAAAAAAAATCTTTTAATTCTCCACCTGAAGCACAGCCTGCAGGTTTAATAACAGACCAAAACAAGTGGGAATAGAACGTGTGACATTTAAAATGAGAAAGATCCCGAGTGACTTGCATAAAACTGTTGTTCTGCTCGAATCACTGTACAATATAACACATCCTCTGAATTTATTCCGGCTCTCTTTCATGTTTTATTACTCAAAGACTAAAAACTCTGTGGTGTTTTTGGGGGTTTTTTCTCCAGTGGAGACTCGCACGCTGCCCCGCTCCAGCTCCATGGCTGCAGGTCTGGAAAGGAACGGCAGAACTCGAGTCCAGGCCGTTTTCTCCCACGCCGCCGGAGACAACAGCACGCTGCTGAGCTTCGCCGAGGGCGACGTCATCACCCTGCTGGTGCCCGAGGCGCGAGACGGCTGGCACTACGGCGAGAACGAGAAGACGAGGATGTGAGTGTGGTTTGGGATTGAAGATGTGACTTTTCTGTTTCTGTCCTCTGGTTTTGAAATTGAAGAACGAATGTTGACCTGCTGTCTCTTCTCCACCAGGCGGGGCTGGTTTCCCTTCTCCTACACCCGGCTGGTCTCCGAGAGCAACGGCGACACCATGAGGCAGCTTCGAGTTCACAAGTATGTGAAGCTTATTGTGTTTCCGTTTTGTTAGTCTCTGTGGTATTTATAAATTCCAGATGTTTGAACAACTCCCAGTTCCATTCTTGCAGAAGTGCTCTCTCCACTGGGACACAGGAACGACACAGTTCCAGTTTTTCTAACTTTCCATGCTCTCTTGTGTCTCCAGCCTCCACCATGGGAAAAGCAGCAGCACAGGGAACCTTCTGGAGAGAGAGGACATGCCTCTGCCCAGCCCCGATTACGGCACTCGCACTCGAATGTCTGCACAAAGCACCGCCACGCTGCACAGGCAACAGCGTCCCTACAGCGTCGCGGTGCCAGGCTTCCCGCAGGTACAGATGCTGCTGAACGTCCGCACATAAACCCACAAAACACGAGCTGAGCCATCACAAAGATCCTGCACTGCAAAAACACAACATCTTACCAAGTATCTTTGGTCTGTAGCTTAAAGTGCAAACATCTTATTAGACTTAAAATAAGACAAAACAGACTTGCAAGAAACATTTCAGCAAGATATAGAGCTTGTTTAAGTGAATAATTTCTTAATATTGATGAAGAAGTAATTTCCCTCAAAAAATATAAGTTGTAAGTGAACTAATTATCTGGTTGATCTAGTACTTTTTCATCAATCTTAAGACATTTTTGACAAGCTGCTATATGTGGCTGAAAAGTTGCTTCTAAGTTAGTTTTGCTTAAATTCAAGCATGCTACAATATTTGCACTAGAAACTAGACTAAAAGTAATTGGTGTGTGCAGCGCTAGCTCACATTGCTGCAGGAATGGGCTGTGCCTGGTGGCAGGGATCAAGAGCAGGATGTGACGCAGCCTAGAAAGGGAAAATTCAGAGAAACCACCTGTGAGCTGCCGATGAGGTGGATAAGAATTCATCATAAGTCAGGAAAGAGCCTTTTGAAACAGTGAACCCCCTCTGCATCAGCCCAGATCCCCTCCTACACCTAGCCTAGAACATAACATGTGGGCGATGCTTAATTGCACTGCAGTCATGTAACAACTTAAACTGCTCTTTCTGCCTCACCGCCGCCGAGGATTGTCATTTAGTCGCCATCTATTTAGAAAATATCTGCTCCTCAAACTCTTTCACTTATCAGGCCTTTAAGTTGATGACTCATCAAACAATTCTGGGTTTGTGTGGTTTTCTTTAATATTTTGTCTTTCATAGATTTTACTTCTTCTATTCTTTTACGCTGGATTGTAACAAAAGCAATGCTAGACTTGATGTGGAGCTCACTGACTTGTAGATGTTTTCACACCACTCAAACTTTTTAAGATTTCATCATGTGACAATCACAAACTTTATTAAGACGGATCAATACAAAGTTAAGCATTATTGTGAAAGAGCAAGGAAAATTATATATATTTTTCTAACTCTTTGATAAATAAGCCTAAAAATTGCGACGTATTTGTCCCTTTTTACGTTGCTACCCATAAATAAAAATGTGTGTGGTTTAGACAGGTTGGTGAGAAAAGTGTTGAAGTTTAAAAACGCGTTGAGTTTCTAAAACATTCCCCAAGCTGTGAACATCTCACAGAGCTTTAATCAGTTTTTAATTTGAAAATTGAAAAACTATATTACACAACTTACGAAGGCACATGCATCCATGTTGTAACATGAGTTATTTACACAGAAGGGAAGATTTACTACAGTTTAAAGTTGTTTTTTTTTACTTTTAAGATCAGTTTGTTTGGAGAGATGCTAGGAGCTAGCTTGTACGTGTTGCAGAATCTTTGCTGCCATCTGCTGACTGTTGTGATTATTGCAACAGTCCTCTAGCTTTCATAAGTAAATGCACGTCATTGCAGAATAAACTGTAACTAATTTTTTCTCTCCCTTGTGTCTGCAGCAGGGAGTTGAAGAGTACGAGCCCCGCTTCCCCACCAGGTAAGAACCGCTCAAGTTCTTCTTTTAGTTTGATGCAGAAGTCCTTTTCAGTCAGTGGGAGGGGAACCAAAGAGTATTAGCTCTCCATACATGGCTGAGGGATTGGGACAATTGGTGCAGCACACCTTTGATTTGGTTTCATTTTTTTTTTTTTTAGTTTTTCTGTCTTTCCATCCTTTTCTGTCAACATTTGTTTGCTGTGAAACCATAAATGAGGAGATTTTGTCATGTTAGCTGTCTGTTATAGGGTGTCCACTCATCCTTAAAACCTCTTAAATTCATTTTAAAAAGAGTAAGTTAGCCTTTAATGTGTTAATTACAGGTCTTAAGTTTTGTCTAAGACTATTAAATCTTGTATATTCTGTGTATTTAGTTTGAGTTGCACTCAAACATCTTCAGTGCGTTCTCTGGCGATTTAAGCTACTGCTAGCTAGCTGCTAACATGCTAGCTAGCCAGCTAATTTTTTGCATATATCATGGAAAAGTGCTAATTTGTCGCCAGTTGGATGAACACATTTCATACATTTCTGTGAAGATATAGGTCTGAAACTTGAGTTGGTCAAATCCGCAGACATCCTTTATTACACTGAGGTCTGGATCGATGCTCTGATCTGATTGGCTGCAGTTGGAACGTCTTGTTTACTGTTAGAACGAATGAGCCGATTCTTTTCAAATCAGATTAATTGGGCTGCTCGGACAGGTTTAATGCACTTTTCTTAATAATATGAGATATTTAACCTTTTAATTTTAGATGTGTAAATACAGCTGTACCTCTGTGGGTCTAACCAGATGCTTGAATAAATTTCAGTGGTCTGAGATTTCACTTAGTAGTAGAAAATATGCGTAATAGTGGTTTGTGATTATTCTGAAGTGTAGCCAAATTACCTTCAGCCCTCTACTCCTCCTGAAGTTATATAACAGATTATGTCGATTAAAGTGTTTAGTCTGTAAAACCAAACTCCATGTTCTTTGGGAATTAGCTGTAGTGGAGAAGTAAGTTAAGTTTCCAGCGCATTTGACCTGAAAAAAATAAAAAAAAAGGATTTTTAAAATTAAAATCTTATGCAACTTTCAACTAATTTAAAAACATGTTGTACAAGAAGTTCTCTTTCAAAATAAGAGCTTCTTTTACGTGACGATTGATACATTTCCAATAAAGGTAAAACATTTTTAGGCATGACCAGTTATCAGTTTAATAGCTTAAAGTCTTCAGGTGTGTTCGATGTGTGTTTTTTGTTTCTGTTGAAGTCCATTTCACCATCTTTGGTTCATTAATTTTCTGAACCCATTCGCATCCTGACTCCTCCATCACCTCACAGCCACCACGCTGCTTTTCTTGCTTTATTTCCTGGCTCCACTCACCCCGAACGTCCTGCTGCAGCTCTTTGCCTCAGTAAAACGTTCAGGCTCAGTCAGGTCGAGATCCCACATTTCAGCCTTGTGTGTGTCCTGCTGGTTTTGCTGCTGCTGTTTTTTTTTTTTTTTTCCCCCATTCAGCCCACCTGGAATCCTCTTCCTCTTTCTGTCCACAGTTCCTCAGAGGTCAAATTGATTTCCACAGTGTGAGACGATGCGATAGGACAGGCTCCTTCCTCTTTCCCTCCCCCCTCTTTTCCTGCCTCCTGCTTGCGGCAATAAACTCCTCTCGAGCAGATCAATCCGAGGAAGAGACGCGGGTGTGTCCGTCACCCTCCTTTCACCTCTTCCTCCGTCGCCATCCCCGAGTCGTCTGTCTGACCTCACGACCAAACCAGAACAGACTTTGTGCCGTAAATATTTCCAATCCACGCGACGGACGTTCTCTCTGAGGAAAATGGGCCTTTTTTTCCTCGCCTTTCATGCATGTACATGTACTTTTGTATAACTGAGGGGATGAAACCTCCCCGCCCCCATTTCCACTAATGTCAGTGCTCTCCATCGGAATGACGGCGTGAAGGAAATGTAAAAGAAAGCGGTTGATCCCAAAGAGGATTTTCATATTGTAAAAACATAATAGTTTTTAATTTTACTGGATTTTTCAGTATTGAATTATTTCTGCCTTTTCATGCTGTGAAGTTTTGTATTCCTCTGACACCAGAGGTCCTGTAAATGTTTTAACCAAGAAAACTGAATGTTTACTGTACATACAAACAAGTGCTTGTCACGCAGTATCTTATCTGTTCATGGAAGAAGAAAAAAAAAACCCTGCACTTTATGAAACTAATAATCTCTGTTTGTGACTTTGTGTATGAAAACAACCTGGAACCGTCTTGGTATCGGTCTGTGAACTTGGACACTGTGCTCCAACACACTCAAACACAGGTGCTTCTGTCCATGTCCTGCTGAGCCGTTTCACTGCTTCATCATCAAGCAATCTGAACAATAAGCAGCGATGATGACCTTTTTATTCATTTCTTTTTTTTTGCATTTTCTGTGGTTCAAATAAAAAAAAAAAATGCGCGATCTCACATCTACACATACTGGAGGCGGAAGTTTGGAAGTGGGAGATAATTCCCATCCTAAAGGCGATGCGTAATCTAGATTAAATGAACACAAACTGTCATGCTAACACTTTAAATGACTCTCTTTGTATCACCTACTGATGAGGTGATTTAGTTCCCATCATTCCCGCTTCATTAACCAACCAAACATGCTGCTGTCATTCCAGCACATTTAAAGCTCTGCATGTCATTGGCCACCGGTTGGGAAACTGGTTGGGCATCAAACTCATTTCAAGAGCATTGATGTTCTCAAAGAGCCCGTTGTGCCAGAATGTATTAATAAAACTCATTAACAAAGTGTTAAAAATATTAATAGCTGTGACTGCATACCTCCTAATATTAAACATCTTTTTATTGATCATTACCTCCAGGATTTTATGACTTTTCTTCATTCTTTTTTTTTTTTTTTGTCAATCTAAATCTGTTTTGTGGAGCTAACTTAGAAATGATTGCAAGAATTTTTGCAATTGTGACGTGTCTCCACACCAAGTGTAGTAAAAACACGGAATACTGCCACCTACAGGTGGGAGTCGGCATCACATTAAGCCAATGATTTCTACCTTTTTTTTTTTTTCCAGAAAATTTGTAATAAACTCACAGTTATGGATTTGCGTCAAAAAGAAAAAATGCTGGGATCCGTTGACTTTGTGTGAATTTCCACAATCACAAAAAACCAGAAGGATTGATATAATTTGGCAGCATACAGATAAAAACGGCTTTGATTGATTGATAAAATAATAATGTTTAAGCATACGACGTTTATCTTCAAGGTTCTGTTCATGCGTCACTGTGGAGGATCGCATAAAACACAGTGGCTCACACATGTTGTAAAAAATCATCTCTAGACTCAGATCTATTGTCCTATTCATATCTGGTGATCCATATTATACAGGTTTAAAATCAATTTTAAAATCCTTCTGTTGATTCTTTGTGGATGCTTTTCATTGTAGAGAAACAGTTTTAATGTATTTTGTTTGGATTTTATATGATTAACCAACACAACATAGTACATCACTAAATGAATGAAGTGGCAGAAAACTGTAACATGAATTAAATTTAGAAATGTTTTTTTTTTTCCCCACAATAATTATTTACTTTGTCTTGTTCAGTCACTTACAATCTCAATTAAATAAATTGAAACGTGTGTTTAATGCGACACAATGTGAAAAGTTCAAGATGTGACTTTTGTAAAGTCACAATTGATGAGCAGAAATTATTTATGCGACTTTTAATCTACAGAAAACATCAGACGACGACTCTAGACATGCAGAGATCTTACAGCTTATGATGAGCCATATTTAGAAAAACCTAAATCAGAAAGAAATGTACAAACCTAAACATGTTTTTGTTTTTGCATATTTATACGTGGTGCATATACTGTGGATTATATAACCTAATGGAAACTTTTAAACGCAACATTGTTGAAGGAATATGCAGTTGGCACTTTGGATCCTAATGGATCCACAGAAACCGAGAGGTCAAATCAGCAACTGAAAACCGAGTCACAGCTGCCCGGAAAGCCGTCTGATTTCCTGTGTTTATCCTTCGTGTTCTGCTTCAACTCCGACTAAAACCTCAGCAAGTCAAAAAGCGTCACAGTTTAAGACGAGTGTCGTCTGTTCTGACCGGTTTTGTTTTTCTGTGTCGGCCCAGTTAGTCCCCGTCTCACTGGCTGTCCCTTCTGGTGTTTGTTTCTAGTCCGTCAGGAGACTGCCGACTTCTGAAATTCATGAAGGTTTTAACATTTGTAGAGAGACAAAGACGGAGAAATTAAGATTATTCCTCTGAGAAAACTGCTTGAGATGATTAAATATTTTTCAGGCAAGTGAAACATTAATTTGGATCTGCATCAGATCTTGGTTCAGATTTTTTTATTCTATTATTTTTTGCACAGTGCAGTAGAAGCTTTGTCCCAAATGTCCTCCCTCAACTTTGCCAACCTGCTTTCTGCCGTTTCTTGATCCGTTCTGATGCGTTTAGACAAAGTCGAGAGTAAACGACAGGAAGCAGCCAGTTCTTCTTCTTTCTCCACTAAAATAATCAAAGCTACGACTGCAGATTGCACAGCTCTCACATGTGTGCACCGACTGAGGGGCAAAAGAGTGAAAACATTTTGTACAGAGGATTTCTGAAATATGCATGCTTTGAGGCAGCAAGAAGTATAAGGATTGATGACCTCAAATGTTTGAATTTCTACTATACAAAAGTTATCAAATAAATTTCTTCATATGGACATTTCTCTTGCTTCTGTTCCTTTTTTTTTTTTTTTCCCCCAAAACAACTTTCTGCCATAACAGCCGGCTCAAATGTTTAGTTTCTACCCTGCAGAACTTTACTTTTCCAGCCTTCTGCCGCACTTCAGGAATAATTTCATTTACTGCTGTTCATCCCCAAACGCATTAACCAGTGACCTGAGACCAGCCCTGCCACCCTGCAGCCGTGTTGCATGTTCAGCGTGTGCGTGCACGTGTGCGTGTGTGTGTGCGCGCGCTAACATTTACATCCTGCGCACCCCGGCCT